GGGCTCGCCCCGCCCCGCCGCGCCGCTGCCCAACGGGCCCCACGGCGGCCGCGGCGGCAGCCCCGGCTCGGGCTCAGGCAGCAGCAGCCGCGAGGACTCGGCGGAGCGGAGCCCCGCGCCCGCCGCGCCCCGGGCCAGCATCATGAAGGTGAGAGCCCCGCACCGGCAACGCACCGGGCCGGCCCCCCCGCGCCCCGGGCCCGGCACCTGCGCAGCGCTGGGGAGCCGAGCCGAGTCCCCGCGCCGAGCCCCGCGTCCCCCCGCACCCGTTCTGCCGCCGCTCCTCGCTCCCCCTGTGCCCGAGCGGCTCCGAGGAGCTGCAGAGCAGCCGCATGCCCGGGCGACCGAGGGTCGCCACCTGCCCGCGGTGCTGCTCACACCGGGACTGACACAGCGTCCCCGCGCCCTGCCCGGACCCAGGGTCCCCAAGGGCACAATCTGGCCCGGCCCGGCTCTGTGGAGTGTCCGTGCGTCGCGCTGTGAAGTGTCACGGCCACGCTGCAGCATCAGCCGGTCCCGCTCAGGACACCCCTGGCTCCCGTGAGAAGATGCCCGCTCCCGCCCCTCGAGCAGCTTCTGCTCTCCCGGGCTCTCCTGACAAGCACTGAGCCTCGGGCCTGGCCTGAGCAGCTTGCAGTCTGCTCCTGGTGCTGGTGCTGCCGGCACGTGGTGGGGCCGGGGTCCAGGGAGGGTCTCGGGGGTCTCCCACCTGGGCAGCGGGTCACACGTGTGCTTTCCTAAATGAACGCCCCTGATTGTGCTGCTGCCAGCGGTACTCGCTGACACAATAGGTCACGTCCGCCCGGCACTCGCCTCCGTGCTCCCGGCAGCCTATTTTAAGCTGGGATTGCTCCGGTGCTATTAATACCCCGTGAGGGGGCTGTTTCCGTGGTGCCCCAACCCCACTGTTCCGTCCCCGGGATCCAGTTTTCTGGGCAGAGGTGTCGGGACCCCGAGTTCTGCCCGTGCCCGCCTGGGCTCTCGCTGCAAACTGTTGCGGGGGCGGCCGGGCTGTGCCCACGCGGGGACGGAGGGAGCCCTGCCGGTGCTCCCGTGCAGCCAGAGGCTGCTGCCAGCGCGCCGTCTGTGCCCGCTTTCCCTGGGGACATTGCCAGGGTCTCCTGCTCCTCCCGGGATGGAACAGCATCCTTCCTTGCCCAGGGGCCATCCGTGGGCACCGCGGGCTGGGGGTGGTGAACCTCTCGCTTGCTGCCGGGCCGGGCACATCGCGCATCCCTGTCACCGCCTGCGTCACCGAGGGATTTGGCCTCACGTGAAGGTCGGGTGGCCCAGGGCCAGCGCTGGCCTGGGGGGAGGTCAGACCCAAGCAGTGTCCCCAGCTTGTGCTGATCCCTTGTGCATCTCTGAGTCCATGCGGGGCCTGAGCAGCAGCGGAGGCACGTGTGGAAAGAGCTGCCGGCTCTGTTGTTTTTTGGGATTTCCAGAAAAGGCTGGAGGAGTGAATCTGAAAGTGCGACTCACTGGCTCTGTGGAGACAGGGGGCCTGGGGCAGCAGGGTCCAGAGCTGTCCCCTGCAGTGTCCCATGCCCTGGCTCGAGGACCTGCTCCCTTCTTTCTTCTCACACAGAAAGCAGAGGGGCTGGTGGTCCTGTGGGCTGGGAGGATGCTGGAGAGGGTATTGGATCTGTCCTTCTCTGCTGCAGGAGTCATCCCCTGAGCCTCCTTCCCATCGTGTGCCAGCCCCAGGAGCTGTGTGGTGCCTCTGCTGGGATCTGACTCCACGGCCCCTAGCCGGGGAGTGGCAGCTGGTACCGCGGGGAGTGGATGTGTCAGTCGCTCTCTTCTTGGCAGGGAACAAACGACGGTAGAAAAGCCCTGACTGTGCTTGGTCTCCCACTGCCTCAGCTCCGGGACTGCTGCCTGCCTGCACCTCTGCCCACGCTGCCCAGACTGGGGTAGTGGGGACACTCGGGACCTGGGGAATTCAGCTGCAGATGAATCACATCACGGCCAGATGGGGGTTAAAGGGGAGGGAGGGACAACTGATGGGCCCTTCTCCATCCCGTGCTTTGACAGTGGGTTATGTGGCCAGTAACCGTGGCCGTCACGTGGAGGCTGAGATTAGGGCATCAGCACTCACCAGGGCACTAATGCAGGAGATAATTGGCTGAAGAGGTGATTAACACATGCTGCAGAGCTGGGCAGCACAGGCAGCTGGGCTGGAACGTGCCCTCCGTGCGAGCCCACGCTCACCGCTGGCACCGTGGTTGGCATCGGCGTCGTGGTCTGTGCTTTGCTCTGTGGAGCCCTGCCTGCTCCCTGCCAGCTCGGTGGCACAGTGAGCAGGATCCCTGCTCTGGCTGGAGCTCTGCCCTGTGTCTGGGGGTGTTCTATGCTGCCATGGCCATGGGCACCATGTCCTCCTTGCTGCCTTACTCATCACCTGCCTGCGCTGCTCCTGCTGTGCCTCTCCCAGCACTTCGTGGGTTGAAGATCACCTGGAACAGCCTGGGAAGGGGCTGCCAGGGAGCAGAGACTGTTCCCTGCCAGTCCCCAGGCTGCACTGAGGAGCGTAGGGCAGCTGCAGACGGGAAACTCCTCGCATCCCCTGCTCGCTGCTTGCCCGTGCAGAGGGAGAAGCAGAACCTGAGTGCTCTTGGGTCTGTGCCACACATCTGCACCCCAAAGTGCTGCAGCAGGCACCACGTCCCCTGTCTAAGCCTGGGAGGGCGGGGGTCTGCAGGGCGGGCGTTTGTGCTTTCACCCCGAGCCCGGTGGTCGGGGGTCCGGCGGGGCCGGTGCCGGTGGGCTGTGTCTGGCTGCCTGCAGCGGGCACAGCTGGAAGCAGGTCCCTGGCGCTGGGTGCACGCAGGCCCCCCGCCCGTGTTTCCTTTCCGGATGGATTTCCTGTTTTCAGCCGTGGGGCCCGGTGCGGAGCGGCGCGGGGTGGGTGCGCCGGGCGGGGTCCGCAGAGAGGGGGGGTCCTGCCGGGGCCCTCGGTGCGGCCCCCGGTGCCCGTCGCCCCGCGGCGAGCTGGGGGCTGCGGCTGCCTCTCAGTGGGGCGCTCAGATTGCAGCATGCAGGAAGCATCCGGCGTCGAGTCCTTCCCCGCAGGGCTGGCCGATGGCGTGACCTGCCGCTGAGCGCCTGCCGACCCGGGATGGCTGGCACCGAGGCAGAGTCTTGGAGCTCGGCCAGCTCCCTGGAGCAATCTGGCAGCGAGAGGATGAGAACAGCCACCACATGCGAGCTGCAGGATAGGAGGATATGCCTGACTCTAACAAGGGGCTGAGGGCTGGTGCTTGTTCCTCCTTCCCTGGGCCTTTGTGTCCCGGGCATCCTTGGAGGATTCCCCATTCCCTGGGGAAACCGTACATCCATTTGTGTGACTTATCCAAATGCCCTTGGCTGTGGCTGCCTGACTCCGTGGGGCAGATCCCGACCCTCCAGGACCAGACACGGGATGTGCCTGCCCTGGTGCAGCCCCGTGTGGGAGCTGTGGAAGCTCTCGGGGCATTAGAGAGGAGCAACCCCTCACCTCTAACCTGGGCAGCTGAGCAGGACCTGCCTCTGACAGAGACACCACCAGATTAGAGGTGACTCACCATAATCTTGAAGAAGTGGATTAAATCTCCTCCTACTGTGCTACTTAATGAAATCCATCCCATAATACACTCCTGGCCCTGCTGTTCCCCCTTATCCCCTGCCCCTGCCAGCCCCGTGGCAGCTGGGCTCCCTCCCTGTGGTGAGGCAGGGCAGAGTGTGGGCATGAGGTGCTGGCAGCAAACAGCCCATGCCGTGGTGACCCTGCGCTCTGTGGGACACAGCCGTGGCCGTCCCCAGCACGTGGCACTGGCAGGGGCTGTCCTGCCCCACTCCTCTCAGAAGAGTGGGGGATCTCCCTTTGTTCCCAAGGAGCAGCTCTGCCCGTGCATCACATGTTGGTG